TAGAATATTGTTGGCAAGTATCTTTTCAAAATTATCTCCTACCAAGTCAACCAGAAATTCACTAGCAAGTAACTTTAAAACATTTTCTAATATCAAAACTTTATCTTGAGATTCGTTTAATAGCAAATTTATAGTTGGCATCGGTGGCTCAACATGTAGTAATATCCGACCCGGAGGCAAAAGCTAAACATCAATTAACACAAGCCGATTAAAAGTTTAAAGAAAAAGAAGAACAACAAAGCCATCAATTGACACAAGTTAGTTGAAATTTTTTTTTGTATACTTGTATGAGTAGATGAGTCTCAATTCCCGAATCCTTTTCGAAAAGAGAAGTCGATAAAGGCTTTAGAATCTTATAAGACAGATTAAATAAAATGAGTTTTATTGAGGCTTATGCTTGAGCTAATTTAAAAAAAAATAAATAAAAAAAAAAACTTACTTTGTCCATTATGGATTTAGATGAATGGTGTGACTATAAAAATAGATCAAACTCAAAGACCTTATCCTTTGGTTCCAAAGTCTAGCCAAGGATTTCTTGGAGAGGTGGAATCTTTCGATAAAATTTTTTTGATCTCCTTAATTGTGTCGAAGCACACATTATTTTAGTTTTAAAACGTAATGAGAATTTTAACACAAGGATTTTTGAATGAAAATCCTTATCATCTCTTGTATTGATGCCTTCTCTTGCTCTTCTAGAGATAGATCCTCAAGATTCTATGGTACTACATGAAGTGGCTGAATATCTAATGGGCTTTTATCCTTCTTATAAAGGAAAAAATAGGAATAGAAGGAGTCTTCATGGTCTTTTGGCCTATTGAACTAGTAGGTTTCGAAACCACTTGTGGCAATCCTCTTTATTGGTTGAATCTTTTGAGAAAGAAGAAGGCAAAGCAATTTTCCTTTTCTTCAAGTTATTCTTCTTTGTCGGATCCGTTAAAAAACAAATCAAGTCAAGGAATAGTCTTCAAACTACGATGATAGCGGGAAAGATGGGAAAGACTTATGAGTTTTTACAAACGATTTAGTTTTAATCGATGTCAATCTTCTCATTATCGATGTGCTACCAATATCTTAAAATAATCTATGTTTGTCTCGCCATAGAGAAATTATTATCCTAAAATGTCAAGCAAAGAATAAGTCACTCCAATGATTGGGCGATAACCATGAATGTCCTATGCATCGGTATTCGTGGTACTACATGAAGTGGCTGAATATTTAGTGGGCTCTTTTCCTTCGTATAAAGGAAAAAATAAGAATAGAAGGAGTCTTTATGGTCTTTCGCCTTATTGAACCAGATAGGTTATTAAACCATTGTGGCAATCCTCTTTGTTAGTTATTTTGTTACTTCATTTAACTCCTTTTATATTGAATCTTCTACGAAAGAAGAAGGCAATATAGTTTTTCTTCTTTTTGAGTTGTTTTCCTTTGTCGGAAGTCGTTAAAAAGCAAATCAAGTCAAGGAACGATCTTTGAACTACGATGATACGGGAAAGATGGGAAAGACTTATGAGTTTTTACAAGCGATTTAGTTTTAATCAATGTCGATCTTCTCATTATCGATGTGCTACCAATATCTTGAAATAATTTTTATCTATCTCGCCATAGAGAAATTATTAACCCAAAATGTTAAGCATATTATAGTGAAAAAAGAAGTCACTCTAATGATTGGACGATAGCCATGAATGTTCTACGCATCGAGTATAAGCTATCAATTCATTTTTGATAAGTTGGTTTAAAAAAATCTTGAATATCTTTCCTCTTATTCCATGGTTGATTGATGGTCGAAATCAATGGTTTTGCCATTGTTTAGATTAATCCAAATTACCGAGCATAAAGGTTAGAGCTATAAGTTTTGGAAAAAACTAGATCTCCGAGGAGTAAGTCAAGTCTCGACTAACTAAGATTGAACTCTAAATAGATTATTCACCAATAGAAAATTATACTTTATGGAGCAATTTGTTTGAGCGAAACCATAATGGCCTATAGTTGTATGCATGAATGGCATCTAATCTTCTAATACATCTCATTTTATGCTTAAGGATGTATCTCAAAGCATTCAAAAGAGTTAAAAGTTTATACGAGTATCTCATATATGAGAGAATGGTCGTATCTATCTAGGTTGTTTTTGGTGCATTGAGGTCGACCTACAAGTTAAAAGTAAAACTCACCCCACATCCGAACTAACCAAAGAGGACAAGATAATGATTTTAACCTATTGCTCGATGTATCATAAAGTCCTATGTATGCACAAGCAAAGAGAATTGGGTCCATATCGACTTGTCTCGTCCCATCGAGTGAAGCCAAGTTGATAGCATAAGACAAAAAAACTTTAATTGGTTTCTTCAACTTTTAGCCAATTATATATTTACAAATCCATAGTAAATAAAAATTGATCTCTTCATCACGAAATATTTTTATCCTCTCCCTTAGCGATTGAACATGTGTTCATAAGCTTTGGGGAGTCTATTTTCTAAGGCTTTGAGGTCTACATCATTCACTTTAAAAGCCAAAGTTTGGCCGATTGGATGTAAGTAGGTGATGGCCATGACATCAAGTAAAATCATCGACATGTGTCCCTTTGGAAATTGAAATTGATTGATGTAGGGATTCAAAAACGTGACCGAGTGTAGTCATTAGACCAAGGTTTTCTATATAAGAATGGGTCGATAAAAGAATGGCCTTTCTAATTACTATCACATCCCATTTCTTGCCTAATTGTGGGATAAGTCTTTTTTAAGCTAATCTTCATATTTGGTATCCGGTTTTAACCAAACAATAGGAAAAGCTTTAGCAAATCGAGTCTAATTTTGCAAGGTTGGGTAGAGTTTAGGTGAAAAGATTATATTGATATCATAAGTCTTTGAAAGATTGTATTGATAATCTCTACAAGGTGAATAACTTCGGTGTTAACAATAGGATCCGATGATCGGATAACAACTCTTTTTTGGGTTCTTTTTATACCCAATCATAACATTAATGATGTCATTGCTAGTGACAATTTGAAAAAGGCGTGTGTTAATCACACCTGGTTGCTTGAAAAGTTCATTCGAGTTGATAGTAGTCTTCCTAGAGGGTAACTTTCACGACCTTCTTTGAAGACTTAGTGTTTCCTTTTGGAGTTCTTTTTTTATAAACGAAAGAAATGAAAGAGGAATTCAACAAAAGGTAGAAGAGATGTTTCACGAGTGTCAAAAAAAAAAAAAGCAAAGGTTTTTTGTATCTTGCAAAGTTGTAGCTAAAGAAGAAATTTCAACAAAAGTGAAAACCTTAAAAAATCACTTTCCTTTTTATGTGATATATTTTAAGGGTCTTGATGTTTAAACTTTAAGGTTTAACAATTCAGAAATGGTGAAATAAAAACCAATTTTGTTGAGTAATTGAAGCATTAAAGTGTTTATAGTTAGCCGTTTAAGAAATGGAATGTCGAGTTGTCTCGTCACGTTTGTCAACATTTAATGTTTTACCCATTAGAGAAAGAAATTTTCATTATTTCATATCTAAAAGGCTGAATGAGGGGCATGTGTTGGCACTTAAAAATTTTAAAAAAACCACGTGTTGCTTAGGTGTGGTATCCTTTCACAATGAGACTCAAATGAAATGGTGCATTTAGTCTTATAACTAACCATGCTCGACGAAACAACAAGACTTAGATGAAATAGTGCATTTGGTCTTATAACCAACCAAGCTCAATGAAACAACAAAACTCAAATGAAACGAGTACGTTTAGGTCTTATAATCAACCGAAGAAATAACAAGACTTAAATGAAATTGTGCGTTTGGTCTTATAACCGATTAGATTCGACGAGCAACAATAAAAGCGATTACTAGTAATTGTCATGCTTAGTTTCAAATCTAAGATATTTATCGATTGTGGGTAGAAACTATTTAAAGAAGAGAAACCGATAGAGAAAGAAACACAATCAACACACAAGACTTTTTTAATACAAACTTATTCAAGTTTTCTAGTTTACTTTGTAATAGTTAGCCTTTATATTTTCGTAAGTAGTTTGATAACCTTTACTTGTTTTCCTTCATACTTTCGGTAGATCACATTTACTATTTTCAATAACTATTGTAACCTAAAAGGTGTTGGTTCATCCCCGATTGTGGTCAAATGGCTTCAAGTATCTCAATAGTTATCGATGTAAGTGTCATATTTTTCGATTTATGATATTTATACTTTTTCAATGAGTTTTGTCTTTTTCGATTGATGAAATTATCTCTATCTCTCGAGTGTTATTTGTTCTCATTAATAACATTTCTTTTATTTCATCTCTTTTTAAAAAAAAATAAAAAAATTAAATACTGATGAAAAGTCTTAGTGACTTACTAGACAAAATTGAATCCCATATTATTTAATCTCAAAATTCTGGATCACAAATTGAAGTATCGAACTTCTCTATTTCGAGATCGAATTCGACGAGCCGCGACAGGTAGAATTCATGACCTCAACTTGGCTACGTAGCTTTTGCAAAAACAAATTAAAAAATCAAAAAGAATTTCCTAGCTATACGCATGGAGACTTGAATCGGTCTCCAAAATGGCCCATCCTGCTTGGGAAAGATCGGTTGAAAACATGACGTGGCAAGCTTAAAAAATTAGAGAAGAATTCCGCATAAGAGAGGTGCAGTTCACGCATTTATATGGAATATACAAGTAAGTCCGAAAGCAATTCAAGAGTGCTTGTCTATGACCGACTGCCACGTAAGACGTTGTCAAAACTATTCACTCGCAAACATGTTGTCAACGAATCGCTATCACGTACTAAAACATGTTGTCAATATATATACATGGATGGATGATATCCGCAAACAACACTCACTATTGAAAAAAAATAATTAACATGGATTAAAAGACTTTTAAGGTCTTAATTATCCTTCATCAAATCTTAACTTTCTTTTCTTCCAAAACTTCCTCCAAATCAACTTCTGGTCCATAAGCACAACATACAAGCAAATCTAATTATAGCCCATTCTCCACTCTCCCCTATTGCTATTCTTTCATGTTCGCATCTCTTCCATAATCTCATAGAGAAAATTCCTAACACACACAAAATCTCTTTCAATGGAAAATATCTCTGAGGCATCATCATCATCAGGAAGTTCTTCATTGACAAGTCCTAGTATTCAAATGGTTTCAAAATCAGTTTCCGAAAGACTTCTTGGTAAGTTCTTTGATGCATCCCAATATGACTTTGTTTATGAGCAAAGTGGTCTTTGGTCTCCACCAATAGCAGCTCGAAGGGTTTTCTTGGCTTCAACAGCTGGCCATATATGCTTCGAAGAAGAGTTTTTCTCAAGGCTTAAGAAAGCAAAGAGGGCGTGTAGAAGGCGCATTGCTTGTTTTAATGTATGTGTACCAATTATGGCCTTCTCTTGTTAACGATATCATTCAAATTTATATTTGTTTCAGTTCACCAGGGTTTCTTTTTCATGTTTTCATACTTATCTATTTTTCAGTTGATATATATATATAAGCAATTTCAGATAACATTATACATGCATGTTCTTCATTTTTCAATTTGTTCATTGCCTCTTCTGAAAACACTATCCAGTCGTAGTTTCGGTATCTTGGATCATAACTAAGTGCATCCGTATGTATTATTTTCTCAATGGATGGATACCTTGTATATTTATATGCAGATATATTATGTAAATGTTAAATTTATAGATATAAAGAGAGACATGTTTTGAAAATTTCCCGTCTTTGTTAAGATTGTTTATTGCTATTGTTTTTAATAAATTGTTATTTGAATAACATTTTGTAATTAAGTTCTATCCAGAAAAATTATGTTGTGATATTGTTTGTTTGTCTCTCTTTTTTTCCCCCTTTAATTTGCAGGCCTTTTGGTGCACTTAAAGACGACAACCTTAATTGGTGCCATTTATTCCCGCCTTAATTTCTTTTACAAAGGCATGTTTTGTCTCAAATCACCATTCCCAAGCAGCATTGGGAAGTTTAAGGATTTTCAAAAAGGTTAAATTCAAAACCATTGAATCCCAAGTATATGTGTTTCACTACGATACACATACGTACCTGTCTATGTATTTTCCTGATATATATGGGCACATGTAATCTAGCTCCAGCTAGCTACTTTCTCATTCTAATTAAAATTACAGCATATAATATCATTCTTATTTATCAACTGATGAGTCAAAAGGGTTTTCAAGTTCAAAAAGAACCCTTGAAGTATTTGGTCTTGTATAACGTTTCTATACCTTTTTAGAGGATTAATGCACTTTAATTTAAAGTGAATGGAACAGTATATGCTAATTTTTTTATTACTTGTATGATACCTTGCATTAGATGCAAGTTTAATCTGTGTGTTTGTATTCACACACACATATATATACACGGTGTGCAATCTAAACCCCACGCCAAAGGGAATTTCAGATTGGATTTCTTGCCAAAAAGTCAGAGATTTACTTATGAATCGGACGATAGTGCATGCTACAAACGGTTCAATTATGATCCAAAGGGTGTAACGAGCTTTCTTTCTGTTTTTCTAAACTCTTCTTTTGTCCGCTTAGAACTTGAATAAGATTCCCTCTCCTTCACTCTTTCACCACGTAAATGAAAGTATGGGTCGGTTATAAAGTGGATGCAGCCATGTTCAAGCCAGAAAAATATATTTTTTAATTTGTTTATTTGTTATTTTTGCTTTGAAAAATAAAATCTACTTATTGACTTTCATTTTATGTAATTGTCTTTTGATTTTTGAAGTTCAACTTTGAAATATTTTAATATCCAGGGGTTTTAATTTCAAATTATAATTAAAGATTTTATAAATTTTTAATTCTGCACTAGATAATAGAACCGAAGAGGTAACTAGAGATATGCTAAAATTGCTTAGGAATATAACATGGTGTAAGAATTAAGAAAATGATTAATAGCTCAATATTTTTATATAACAAGATAATTCTTTAATATTTCTTTATATTCTTAATTGAGTTAATTTATTCTTAAATACAAATTAAGTTTTCAATCTATTTTTTTGACATAAATTTCAGGTCCAATATTCTAGTGATTTGGATATGATTAATTTTTATTTCAAAATATTCTTGCAAGCTATCAAATAGAAATTTTCATATGTAAATCGTGTGATTAATTTCAATAGTTTAACTTAAAAATCTTACTATAAAAAATTTTAATTTAAAAACCTTGGCAGAAAAATAGATTAGACAATTAATATATAATCAAAAATAAAATTAATTCAATTAGAGATATAAGAATATATGGAAAAATTATTCTATTCTATATAGCGAGAGACTAATTAATTAATCCTTAAAAGAATTTCCAACATTTTAATCTATCTTTGAATCTTTTATCATTTTTTTCTTTTAAAACAGGAGTCCTTTATCACTAAAACAAAATTAGATCTCCAATCAAGATTTATTTGTTGCTTAGTTTTACAAAAATGTGTTATCTTAATTCTTAATGGCTAGTCGGAAGGTCGATAAAAATAGTTTAAAGACATCATTTACCCTTAAACTATTGGGGTTGTGGAAACAAAAGATCTATATTATCAATTTGAACTATTCAGACCTTGAACTATTAATTTTAAAGCAAATTTGATCCTTCTCTATTATGCTCGGTAGTTAAATTGTTGATCGTTAACTAAAATGATATAAATGATGTATTGATCCTTTTTCATTACTGTCTTACGGTTAAAGTATTGATCGTTAATTGAAATGTCTTTTTAAACATTTTATTTTTTTTAGAATAATAAAAATTAATTTCAAAAAAATAATTAAAAGTTTAGTTTTTTTTTTTTTTTTTTTTTTTTTTTTTTTTTTTTGTACTAGATGGATCAATTACATATCATTAATTGTACAACAACAAAAGTAAGATCCATTAAAAAAATAATCTAAGCTTTTTTAAAGCTAACTATTATTAATTTTTTATTTAAAGTTATTTTTAACTCTAAAAAAAATAATTTTAAAACTTATGTATTTGAATTAATAGTCAATATTTTCACCGTCAAATATAATAGTGAAAGATAAAATTTACTCAAAATTTAATAATTTGAGATCTAAATAGTCCAAAATAATATTATAGATTTTATTTTACAACAATCTCACAGTTTAAGGGTAAATTGTGTCATTAATTTTTTTTAAAAAAACTAGCACCTTTTAGACCATGGGTATATATATATGTATTAACGAAATATAAATTAGTGCATTTAGATTGGGCTTGTCACTTTGCTTTTATTTCTTTGTGGATTTATCGAGCTCACCCACTAAGGTCTGATGAATACGCTATTTCACTATCTTGATAATAGTTATCAATAAACAACACAAATACCCACTAGCATAATTGGGTATTTTTGAGTTGTGAATTTATGTAAAGTTGTTTTTTTTTAAAAAAATATTTATAGGTAGTTAATTATTTTAAGTCGGTCTTCTTATCAATCGAAACTAAATTCACAACTTCTTACGTTACAAGACGATGTCAAGAAAGATGATGATTTGAAAATAGAGAATGAAAAAAATAGTCATCACTTAGTGTTAAAGTCACTAGAAAATCATCTAGTTGGTCTACTTAGACTTCTAAATAAAGTATTGGTTATGTGCGAAAAAGATCGTATTGCACACAAATCTAGACTTAATTCCTAATTTCTAACATGATAAAATTTTATGCCTATCTATAAACATTTGTTAGCCAAACAAGTGAATTAGGGTTTGACCTTACTCTAAGACTTAATAAATCCAAATTCAAGGCAATTAGATTATGACTCGCATATAAACAGATTAAAAAAATTATAAAAATATTAAAAATGGCAAAAAACAATGTAAAACTAGGTTCGAAAGGATGCGACTTCAATCTTTATGACTTTTCAAGCAAATAAGCAAAAATATCAAAATTGGCAAAAAAGAAACTCGAATCGACACATCTTTAGGTGTTATGATTTTTCGAGCAAACCGACAAAAACATCAAAATTGACGAAAATAGTTTGAAAACGAGGGTCGGATCGACATGACGTCAAGGATCATGATTTTTCAAGAAGATAAGCAAAAACATCAAAATCGACAAAATCGATCCAAAAATAGAGGTCAAACCAACATGACTTCGATGTCGTAATTCTTTAGGCAAACACACAAAAGCATCAAAATTAACAAAAATGATCCGAAAACGAGAGTCGGATTGACATTTCTTTAGGTGTCCCGATTTTCAATCAAATTAAAAAAATCAAACATAAATGGAAAAATTAACGAAAACGAGTTTGAATTAAGGCTCGAACCAATGCAATTTCAAATATTGTGATTTCCAAACATATGGCAAACAAATTCGACAAACAAATAGACATATTAGGAAAAATTGATAAGACGATCCAAATAGCGACTTGAACCAATGTGCATACATAAGAAAGACACACTTGGTTGCTTTGGGAGATAACTTATCACGTTCATGAGGTGGAAGAAGAACAAAATAAATACAACCAAACATACGAAGATAAGAATAATCTGGAGGGTGGAGATACTAACACTCAAAGGGGGACTTGTTTGCTACATTGGAGCATGGTTGTTGATTGATGAGATAGACAACGGTTTTGACGGCTTTAACCTAAAACCTTTTAGGGGTCGAGGACTCAATAAGTAATGCACTAGTTAGATCTAAGATATGTTTATTTTTTCATTCAACAAGTCCATTTTGTTTAGGAGTGTGGGGGTAGGAACTTTGATGAATAGTTCCTTTATCGGAAAAGAAGTTTACCAAGCTAGACTCACTATACTCCCCCGAATCCGATAAAAAAAGTTTAATGTGAGTGTTGAATTGATTTTCTACCATTTTCACAAAGGCTTTGGTAATATGAGAAGCTTCGACTTAGCTCGCATAAAATAGACCTAAGTGCATCGTATAAAATGATCAATAAAGAGAATGAAGTATTTGTATCCTAGACGAGATATTTTGAGAGATGGACCCCAAACATCATTACGGATTAGCTCAAAAGGTTTTACATAAACAAGTACAACTAGTTGGAAAAGAGAGTTTGTGAGACTTAGATAATGCGTAACTCGACAACGTATTTGAATAGTTGAATCAATGGGTTCGCTAGATGGAAATAGAGATTGTAAAATTGATCTCAAGCTATTAGGATATGGATGGCTAAGACTATGATGTCATAAGTCCCCCAATATAGATTTATTAGAAGCACAAAAAGCAAACAAACTAGAAAGAGAATTTCATGATTAGAATCATGGAGGGAGTATGGTAAGTCTAGCTTCGGTAAACTTATTTTCCGATAAAGAAACTATTCATCAATGTTCTTGCCCCTACACTCCCGAACAAAATGGACTTGTTGAACAAAAAAATAGAAATATCTTAGATTTAACTC